AGAGCATTAGAACGCTTTTAATAGTCTGCAGTCAAATGCTAGAAAATGCATTTATAATCGATAATGATACCAAAAAACTTGATACCAGTGTTCCAGCTTTAGCTGATATTGCATTCTATCAAGCTTTTATTGCATTATGACCACATCCATTTAGAATCTTTTTCTCTTACCAAAATATACTGAATTGTCATCATGCTTTATTTTTGTTTTTGGCAAGAAAAAAACAGACCAACATTTGGCAGTTGTTGTGTTGTATGGTTTTAGGGTATGTAGGAGGGTGTGGGACATGCAAAACCACTAAAAGGTGTAGGTGTGTTTGTGGGTTCTAAACATCTATATGTATATAAAGGAAAGGATATAAGCTATGTTTGTTGGTAGCTTAACGAGTTTAATAAGACTTATCAGCTTATTCGGTAAGCTGTGCATGACTGTTTGGTAGTGGTTTAATTATATAGAAAATGACTTATTCAGTAAACTTGTAGGGGAAATTTTATGTAGGAAGTCGGGGGTTTTTCAAACATGTATCTCTCAATTAAAAACACATACGCTCATTTCATCTGTAGAAAACCGTCAAAAACAAAAAAAATCTAATCTATACTGTTAGGGCTGAAATTCAGTGTTAAATTGTATTCGTCTTGAAAGTTAAAATTGTCTATAATTGTATAAAAGTCATCGTGTTTGACTTTTCATAGATAGTTTGACTTTGACTTTTTTTACATGTGTGACCTTATATAAAGGGTAAGTCTTGTGTATTTTGGTTAAGAGAGCTCATTTGTTAAATCAGATTACGTAAATACAGTTTGACCATATTTGGATGCATTGACTTTCTCTCTCAACATTCATATCAAGTGTTCTTGATGTTCTTACAAGAAATATTCAGATTCTGCCATTGATTGTTAAAGATTTATGAAGATTGATCAAAACACGGACTACACATACTGACAAATTAGTCCATAGAGTCAACTTTATCCATATAAAGCCGTAATAGAAAACTAACTAAACAACCCTGATTCAAGGTGAGAAATGGTATGGTGGGAATTAGTCAATGATAATGCCTTACCGAGTCAACTCACCAACCAAACTCATTGTTGATTGAGGGTTAAATGCATGAAATAACAATCTCATTTCATAATTTTTTTTATTATAGCATTTTACTTTTATTTTTCTTTATTACAGCAATGTACTTTCAAATTATTTTTTATTAAGGTATCGTATTTTAAAAAATCTACCCATTAAGACAATGGGTAACTTGTTACCTTTTAAACTGGTTAACCTCTTGACTTTTTTTTGTTTGTGTGATTTTAATAAGGTGATGTTGATGACACATCATTTTGATGACTTAATTAAAATAAAAATAAAAACTTATTTCAAATTATTATTAGTGATTTTCATTCTTCATTGCTATGATTTAAAAAACATTTATTTTTTTGACTTTTTCTTATTAAGTTGTATGCAAATTAAATATTCTAGAGTAAAATATTTTTAAATAAATATGTTACATTATTTTATATATATATTTTGTTTGTAAAAAATGTAACACTTTTTATTTTANCAATTCGTACCACATAAAATCCGATCTAAAAAACACGTTTTTTCAAATGCTTGTTATGCAAATTTTATGCAATCAGATACTTCTCTAGAAATTAATGATAATGCCTTACCGAGTCAATGATAATGCCTTACCGAGTCAACTCACCAACCAAACTCATTGATTGACCATTGAATCATAATATTGATTGAGGGTTAAATGCATGAAATAACAATCTCCTTTCATAAATTTTTTTATTATACCATTTTACTTTTATTTTTCTTTATTACAACAATGTACTTTCAAATTATTTTTTATTAAGGTATCGTACTTTAAAAAATCTACCCATTAAGGCAATGGGTAACTTGTTACCTTTTAAACTGGTCAACCCCTTGACTTTTTTTTGCTTGTGTGATTTTAATAAGGTGATGTGGATGACACATCATTTTGATGACTTAATTAAAATAAAAATAAAAACCTATTTCAAATTATTATTAAATCATTCTTCATTGCTATGATTTAAAAAACATTTATTTTTTTGACTTTTTCTTATTAAGTTGTATGCAAATTAAATATTCTAGAGTAAAATATTTTTTAAATAAATATGTTACATTATTTTATATATATATATATATATATATATTGTTTGTAAAAAATGTAACACTTCTTATTTTATGTTGTTCAAAAAAATACATATCTTTTAAAGTTCTCTCTAAAATGCTAACGAAATAAATTGTGTTTTACAATTTTTTAATATTGTTACATTAATAAATAATTCAAAAAAATCTAATTAATATAATATATTTATACGTCAAGTAAAAGTTTTTGAACAAATATAATATATTCTTTAAAAAATAATATTTTTTGGTAAAAAAAGAACAATTTTTTTCCCAAAAAACCCATATCTAAAAAAATTATTAACGATAAGTTGTCTTCTATTAGATTTATTAATATTGGTATATTAATTAATAATTTAGATTTTTTTTAATTTATTTAATATATTTATTAAATAACATGTAAAATATCTAAATATTAAAGTTAAAAGTACATTGTTTAATAAGAACTAGTAGATGCTATAATAAAATAATTTTGAAAGTACAATGTTGTAATAAGAAAGTCACATCACTATAGTACATGTGGACAGTCTATGTGGACAATGAGATGGCATGAAAACCTGGTATAATGGGTAAATTTAAATCAAAAGATTACCAAATGCTATAATGTGTAAATTTATCAAAGTACAATGTTCTAATAAAAAATAGTTCAAAARTACATTGTTGTAATAAGAAAACCTGGAAGTACACTGTTATAATAAATAAATTTATAAAAATAGATTGTTATTTTGTGTGTTTTCCTCTATTGATTGACCACTACAACCAAATCTAATATATCACATTGAGAGATGGGGTCTGAGAAGGTGTAGAGACAGACTTAGGATTTTTTTTAAAAGAAATCATTATTGGTTTGTTGGTTAATTCCTTACTTTTTGTATGTGAGATCTTGTGTTCCAGTCTAATATCGAATTTTTTTTCCTAGAAACATAATAAACCTTAAATTAACAACTAAAAACAAATGGAGCCTACGCGGGATGGAAGAAAAGTCGTCTAAAAGGACCAAAACTAACTATGCCAAGACTAAGTTGTGTTTTTATTGTAGTTTCAAAATATATATGGTGACACCTAACATTACAATACAACTTGCATCTTTCATGAATCTAATTTTTTTAGCTTACAAYGGAGGAACGTAGTGATGACCTGTGCCATCATATCTAATGAAATTGTGTGTGTGTGTTTGRTTCCAATGAGAATGAAAGTTATGATGAGAAACATAAGAGATCTTCACACTTGAAACACAACCCTAATTGAATCTCAAACGCTAATGAGATACACCAAGATACATCATATCAATTCTCGTATCAAACACAATTTGACAAGTTGGGGTGAGAGATTAAAACTAATCAAGAGTCCATTCTCACACGTTCCCTCGTCTCTCTCTCTCTCTCTCTATATATATATATATGGGTTGGTTCAAATACTAACTAAGGTTTTTGTGTTAACTTTGTTAACCAAGCTCAACCAATCATATTCCATCTTTTCTTTAGGTTCACATATAACTCATATATTAATGACAAGGGTAATTAAGTAATTTGTCATTTATGTAACTTCCAAATCATTAATTGAGAGTTACAAATATAAAAATCTCAACAATTGATGATTATGTAATATTGATATTTTTTATACGTGTTCATGTTTTGTAATTTCGATTTATTCTATCCATAATGATAATGATTTTGTAATTGTTAAAGAATTTTCGATTGAAAAGATTTTGATATCGTCCGAGTAATATGGATAAACCTATTGGAAAATAGACAGACAACAATGAGAATGAAAATGTTAAAATCGTCTACAACTACAATCGAAATTTGAATTCACATGTAATTGTTAAAGAATTGTTCACAAATGTTCATATTGTGTTCACATGTACATTAGCTGCATATCTCAACATTGACTTGCTCCTGAATGTGTTCATAATGAAGGAACTATTGTTTACAAACTGTTCATATTGTGTTCATACCTGTTTTGTTATTTATTTGCTTTCGTGTAACAATTATTCTTATTATATTCATATTGTGTTCATAAATGCTATACAGTCAAAGTTCATATATATGTCATTTTTGTTCTATTTGACACAATGGTTCACACACACATACACATATATGTGTGTGTGTTCATATGGTTCTTACATTAACAAAAATAAATTAATAAAAATAATGAGATTTTTTGATTTTGTAACTCCCAATTAATGATATGGGAGTTATATAATTTTTTTTTACCTAAATACTCTTTTCCCTTTTGTTCACATATGTTCTTTGAAATTATAAATTTAAAAATTAAATTTTTTATCATGATTAATTACAACCCTTTATTGTAAGAATCAATGACCAAGATTGGTTAACAAAGTTAACACAAAAATGTTGATTAGTATTTGAACCAAGATCTATCTATCTATCTATCTATATATATATATATATATATATATATATATATATAAATATATCGTATTTTAAGTTATTTTAATGCAATATACAAGGAAACATGAGATCGTAAACCATCAATTCGTACCACATAAAATCCGATCTAAAAAACACGTTTTTTCAAATGCTTGTTATGCAAATTTTATGCAATCAGATACTTCTCTAGAAATTAAAACTAAGAGGACGTTTACTAAACACTTATCCGGTAAGTGCTTATCAGGTAATTTTTCCTACCCGATGAACATGACAAGGGTCGAAAATCTTACCCGATAAGAACCATGATAAGGATAGAAAGTCTTACACCATAAGTGATGGCGATGACTCTTACTTGGGTAAGCGTTTACCGGGTAAATTGTTACATACGATACAATTTTAATATACTACAATCTTACCTACTAAAATAGATTATAATGTTGACTCCTACCAATAAACGCTTACCGAGTAAGCATTTGAGTAAACGACCCCTAAGATTTACCGAACAAAGTTGCCATAAGATAAAGAAGTAACCTCGTTAAATCCGGTACCCTCCCCCTAATATTAACAAAATTGGGGAAGTCTTTGAAAACATACCATTCCTTTTACGCGCCTTCCTTTTCAAAAAGCAAACAGCATGTAGGCCCCATGCACCAAAAGGCCAAACAGCTGATCCCTCTTTCTGTGTTTGTGGGTCCACGTTCACTCATCACCGTCCGATCAACTCAGGTACACGTGACACTGTACAACACTTTTACCCAACTTAAACCCCGGAACCACCGTGAACGCCACTTCCCGGCGATTTTCCGGCGACAAAAACACTTCTTCATTCACGCACTCCATAAACACCTCCGAGAAACGACACCCATTCCTGACCTGAAATATCGACGCTCCATCTGGATCCAATGAGAAAGCCAGACAATGCAAGAGCCAGATCCGTTTCGCCGCCTCCGCAAACGCCGCGAAGAACGTCGTCTCCGGGAACTCGCCGGCGGTCACTAAGCTTCTCTGATTCAAGTTTCCGAAAAGCGATGATTCCATTTTCGGATGAACAAGTCTCAAGTACTTAAACCAACAAAATTTAGCAAATGCAGATGACGGTTTCCATGCGATATACTCCCCTGCTTTCAAGTATTTCAACTCCATAAATCTATCGAAGAAGAACTGCTGTCGTTTCGCTTTTCGTGGCCGCCGATCGCCGGAAACGGAAAAATTAGGGTTTCCGAATCCATCGAACATCTCTCTGCATACAAACGACTCGAATGCATAACTTCTATGCGTTTTGTTCACGTAAACAACATTCGGTTGGATCGTTTCGGCAGCTGCATCCAGATTCCAATCGGCAAATTCCATTTCAGTGATCATAAACTTGACCAGATTTTTGATCGATTTCATCGATTGTTTCAGCGCTGTTACGAAATTACTCGGATTCAAGGTTGAGAAATGAAGATTCTCATGAGGTGATGAAGATCCACTTGAATTCAATCTCCTTTCGATCGATTTATTCTCTCTGTTGGCTTCTTCCAATTTCTCTTTCAAAAATATGATCTCAGAGTCTTTCAACCGGCTCTGACTCGCCATCTTCTTCCCTGTGTTTTGATATGTTTTCAAGAGATTCTTCTGTTCTTGGATATCAGCCAACAGTATGGTGTTTTCAGGAGAATGATCGTCGATATGATTCTTCAAGAAAGATTGTTTGAATTCCGATAATCTCTTCAACTCCGCCACCACGATCTCATCCGCCGATTGAATTCCTTCAGGATCGTAAGGAGATTGCGAATACTGCAACTGAGCGTACGCGGCTTTCACCGACGATAATGTAGCAAAAACTTTTGCAATGAAGGCATCCATTAAAACTCTGTTCTGAAGCTTCTCATCTTCCTCGTTGAACAACTTAACTTTCTGAGATTCATCAATGGCTGTTGCAGGTCGAATATGCAAAACCTTGGCAAAGGTACGACTCAATCTACTCTTACTTGGGGTTATGGCGGATCTATGAACTGAATCCATCTGAAACAAAGAATCTGAAACTGTTTATGGCTAGAAATGTTAATCTAATGAATTTCTGAAGTGAAAATGGGAACGATGAGCATGTGTTAACAAAAGATGAAAGCGATAGACTTTTGTTAACAAATGGAAAAGCAGTAAGCTTTAATCCTTAGATCGAGGCGATAACCCAACTTTATCCTGTTCAATATATTGGGAAGTTGTCCTTTTTATTTTGATTGGGAAAAACAGAGTAAAGAAATCAAAAGGATTAATAGTGTGTAGAGAAGAAGATGAACATAAGTTAGAGGGAATGTCGTTAGATAACGTTAATGTCTTGAGTTTGATGGTGGGCCCAGTATTTTATCTGAGCAGCTCCACCTTTACGGTGGAGCAAAAGCCCACAAAGTCGTCCAATGTGTTTATAGTCGGATTTCATAGTTTTGAGGGATTTTGGATGTTTTGTTGATTTTGAGGGGATTTTTACGATTTTTTTTTGTCGATCATGAGAGACCTTATCGGGGTTTTGGTTGATGTCAATTGTATTTTCTCATATCAACCCTCAAATTTTAGCGTATGCATTTTTCATAACCCTAAAAAAACTCTACTTGCAAAAATTGTGAAAATCAGCAATCGGGTGTACGGGACCCTGCTAGGGGCTTCACAGGTCTGCCTCTGAGTTCCAATGTTGATCTCTTGAAAAAGAATGACTACCAAATTGAGAAATTCCCTAGTTGGACTTTCGAGTTTACTACACGGACAATACATTCTAAGAAGACTAAATCGTGAGAAGGTAAGAAAAGAAAGGTTTATATGTGAATCCATTGAAAAAAATCCAGAAAAAATGTTTAAATATACATATGTGAACCGACGTTATAAACTATTCATGTAGGTTTGAAATATGTATCTTGAAATAATATTTAACATTTTCATTTGAATGTTATGCTATTATCACAAAACACAAACCACCTAAAACGTGTTATTACAAGTCCACATCATGGAATATGTCTTTATCATGTCCTAGTCACACACCTTCCCTGAAAATAATTTGGTAACCTATTTAAAGATTGTGTATGATTTAATCAAGAAACTTTATCATACCCGTACGTATATATGTACTAACGTATAATCATTGTTTAATTTTTTTCTTAGAGTAAACTAGAAATTTGGTCTTGGTGGTTTGTCGAAAATAATACTTTTCAATTCTGCAATTTTAAAATTATAAGATGACCATAGAAAAATGTCTCGATTTGGTTTTCTCCACCTAACAACTGTTGAATAAATTAAGTTAGATTCCAGACATTTTTGTCATTTTATCAATTTTTTTTGTATTTTACCCAATCAAATACCATAAGGAACCTAAATCATTAATCATAAGATCTATCTTTTTGGGTAAAATACAAATAATTAAAAAATAACAAAAATGCCCCTCATTTAACAAAAAATTTTAATAGCCGCTAGAGGGACATACCAAATCTTGACGTTTTTTATGGTCATATTGTAATTTCAAAATTGTAAGGACAAAAAATGATTTTAGATAAACCATAGGGACCAAATATGTAGTTTATTTTTTATTTTTCATTAAGGGGTATGTTCCCAAACGAAATCATAACCCTTACGTTAAAAATAATAGATTTTTCTTTCTTCAATAATTATGCTAAAATAAAAAGAAAAAGTAGCCCAATCCCTCTAAAATTAAAGAAATCTCTAAAACTTAATATTAAAATGAAAGATATATTATTGGTAAAAAAGAAAGATATATTATTTTAATTGTTTCTAATAATGAGTGATTATTTTAATAAATTTTCAAAAAAAAATGTATTTAGATGATAAATTTATAAAACATTTTAATGATATAATTAATGGTGAATTGCTAAATAGAGTAGTTATTGGAGTTTGATCTTAATTATTTTTTTAGAAATTTTGATATTTTATTTTACAAAAATTATAATACAGTCGTGGAAGATGCTCTAAGCAGGGTGGTAATCACCAACATCTAGCTTACCAAAATTGAAATAACTGATGGTAGATGTTCATCTTAAAAACTAAATGAATGATTTATGTGAAAAGTCAAACTACGAATCTTAAGATAGGGAAGTCAGGGGTGCTCAAAAAACCGACTAACCCAACCAATCCAATCTGAAAATACTCAAAAAACTCAATCCAAAGTAACCCGACATGTAGTTTATACACTATTAGACCATACCACATCTATTGGATTGGAATTGGGTTATGGTAATTTGAACCCAACTCAACCCAATAAAACCCGATGCCTTCCTATATTACGGATTTAATCTCGTCATTGATTAATATCTATACTATATTATAAGACATTTGGTTAAAACTCTTAAAAACTCTTAAATCCGTTCATCCCTAAACGATTTTATCTCTATCCGATTTCATCCCATATCTGAATTCGTGTAACTAACTGCAGATAAACACAATCAAATACAGGATAAACATTTCATTTTAAATTCATTAAATTCTAACAGAATACTTAATTATTATCTTTATAAAATTTATAATATTAAACCAAAAATAAATTGTTTTATTATTAAACTTAAATTAAATTATACAAAAAAAAATATATTCTATATTATAAATCATTTGACAAAAACTCTTAAAAACCACTTTTTATGCGTAAAGTATTGTTTATTAATGCATATTACTTAAAGCTCAAGATTACAAGTAAATTGTGCGTATGTATAACTTATTAAGCCTCCATTATCTTTATAAGAAAATATTATTATTAAACCAAATATAAATTACTTCGTTATTGTACCTAAATTAAATTATAATAAAAAAATTGAATTAAAAAATTACACAAAAAATGAGGAATTTTAAATAGTTAATTCGATACGAATATCGATATATTTTTGTTATGCATAAAGTACTGTATATTGATGCATATTACTTAAAGTTTAAGATTACAAGTAATTATGTATAAGTACAACTTATTCAAGCTCGATGTTTGAGTTCGTATAAATAACTGCGGATAAACATAATCAAATAGATGATGAACATCTCTTAAAATATAAAAAATCTAAAATATCATTAGAATAAATATTAAAATCACGATGTATCTCGCTGTATTGTGCGAGTACGCTTCTAGTATGTACATTAGACATTCGACCAACTCATAATTATCTATATTAAAAATTATATTACTATTACAATTACAATTTCAACTTTAAATTAAGTTTCTTATTTACATGAAATTTCAATCCGTACTGTCTAAATTGTTAAAGAAAGATTTATATAATATCATACGTCTGGATCTTTATCTTTTATATGAGATTTACTGTATTTGGTTTTAGAGATGCAACAAGGCACCTTTTTTGGGTGGCGACATTGGGCAGCAATTTGAAACCAATGGGATCCACATCCTAAAGAATAGGTATATAATAAATATCATAAAAGTTTAATATCTAGATCCACTCACTTGTCCTTTATTCTAAAAAACTAGTATCTTAATGCAACAATTAGCCATAAATATTCTTTGATTGTAAATACAATCAACAACATTACAAACATCTTCACTAATTATATTATAATTTTTCAAAGAATAAAATGTATTAAATAATAACTTATTTTTATAAATTTTTTTATTACAATATTGTATTTTCAGTTTTACCTATTACAATTACAGCAATGTATTTTTAAGTTAATTTTTATTAGCGCATTATACTTTAAAAAAATTACTTTTTATAGTATTGGATAATCTTTTGATTTATATTTATTTATTATACTAGGTTTTCATGCTACCTCACTTTCATGTAGGATGTCCATATATATATATATATATATATATATATATATCATACCGTAGACCTGACATTTCTTATTATTTCATTGTATTTTTAAAATTATTTTATTATAAAATCATCAGTTTCTATTACAATATTATACTTTTGATTTTACCATTTCATCATTTACACACTGTACATTTAATCAAGCATATTACTCAAATTTAGTGTACGATTATAATTCTAAAATTTTCAATTAAAAATTCAGTCTCCTCAAATAGAGATTATAATAATGGGTAACTTTTTTATTTAAATTAGGGGGTGGCTAATGGCACCCCTATCATGTACTAATGCCACCCCTAAGTAGCCTTTAATCATTTGTGTTTTATAATTTTTTGTGTTTTTTTGTTTTTTTGTGATTATTACTTTTTATTTTATTATTAATTAAAGAAAATTTTAATTAATATATATTATTTATTTTATTTTCTGTTTTATTTATTTATTTATATTATATTTTAATTAATATAAATTATTAATAAATA